TCCAATTCAATCCTAATCTGATCAGTTCATAAAACCACTTCTGAGCAAACCTGCTAATCAGACAAGATTAACCAGAATAAAGTATGTGCTAATCCACAAAAAGTCGGACTAGGGGGGCATTGTATGGCAGAGTGTTGTGAAATGCCCAAGTCCAGTAGTCTGAGAATGTAATATGGGTCATTCAGTTTTGTAGTGTAGAAAGGCCCAGTGGTGCAGTTAGTGCATAGTGTGGGTGTACCCATGGGTGTCTGAGGGCATACCCATACCCATACCCACATGTGTTGCATACCCATGCCATGGGTGTGGGTTTTGCATGGGTATCATGGGTACCTTTGGGTATGGGTACTATCATGGGTAGATCTATGTGCAGTTCATGGTACTCAAAATTTTGCATGATATGGGGTGTGTTGTCAGTATCATACTGGCCAGGTGAGTTTCACTGACTGGCTTAGTCAGGGTTGCTCGTATGGCAGAAGATGCTGGTATGGAGTATCTGGTATTGCTGACTTTGATTGCAGATCCTTCCGCAAGGCTCTTGGTGACACTCAACTTGTAGTTGACGTGGAATTCCTCGCCAAGAAGTAGTGGCACTCACATGCCAGGCACAACGTAGCACTCAGCGACCATCTTGAGGATATGGCCTTGCTCAGTTTCTACGTACACTTGGGTCTGCACGTACCCTGTGATACGAAACCCTCCGGTGAGCTGGAAGAGGTTCATTTGGAGCAATTTGAGATACTCCTGCAAAACCAGCGAGATATCCACTCCTGAATCGGCTCGGCAAGTCACCAAGGGATGGGATAGACTCCCGAACCATAGCTGGAATGACAAGGCTGCTACCCCCACCATAGAATGACCCGCTGGTGGATCACGCACGTGTGGAATCATTACTACTTTCGGCTTGGGGGGAGACCAGCCAGCATTGCCTACAGGAGTGAATGCTTCTCTCACTGTAGAATCTGCAGGGGTGAACATTTCACCCGCTGCAGACTTAGTGCCTGCAAAGGCCTCACGGCCGTATAAGTGATGGGTGGAACCATCCACGGCGAGCACTTCCGCCAGCATATCTTCTAGCTTAGCTTCGGGGACACCATCAGGGCGAGCATCCTCAAGAATGGAAGGATGGTCGTGCAGTAGAGAGTCAGAATAGGAGGCGGACGGTTTGGGTTCATCTTTGATAGTAACAGCATACGTACAGCAATGTTGGCTGATGGTACCCTTGAGATACTCGCCCTCAGAACGACGGATGTCCGCCCACAAAGTGTTAGAAAGTCTCACATTGTTAAAGTTACTACAGATGTAGGTGACAAAAGCTTGATTGTTTTCTTTGTTTTCTTCAGTGTTGCAGTCATGTTCTGCACTGATGAATGAGGTGTTTCATCCTATGTTGTACTTGTTCCAGTGGGGACAGTCCCAATCCCAATGAAAAGGGCTGCCGCAGACTCTACAATCGCCGGGCGGCGCGCGCTTGCTTTTGACCAAATCATTCCTAGGGAATCGAGGACCAGCTCGAGGAGGTTTTGGTCCAGTGCTGTGGGGTCTGTTCGATGATGACTTCTGGTTCTGCACAGTTGCTGCATGAGCCTCCGTAGCAGTGTTCTCAGCCTGACCCGTAGGAGTGAATCCTTCACTAGCTACGATTCCCGCTGGAGGGGAAGTCAAAGCACCATTGTTGTCTACATTGAATTCAAAACCACCTCTGAAGCTGTCGACAGCGAAAGCGCAACACGTTCAAACGAACGACCTGGTCTCCTTCTTAGCCGCAGGAAGCTTCAATACTTGTTTGTACTGGGACAAGTTAGCAGGAGCCATGGAGGCGAACACGATGAGCTTGTCCTTCTTGTCCGATACCTTGGCTAAGAGGGCAGGGATAGTGCTAATGGTGTCGAGTGACAGGACGGTGGACCAGGTCGGCGGCACATTCTGCATGACCACGGCGATCTCATTGACTTGTGTCTCTCGCGCGCTGGTGAGGTGCCGATGGTAGAGTATTCGTCTGTTAATGAAGTCGAGAGGCTGCTCCTTCTCGTAGCCTGCTTGCCGGAAGTGTTGTCAGTCGTACTGGGTGCGCAGAGTGACTGGGAACTTGAAAGTGAAGAATTGCAGTTTGATTCCCTCGTACAGGTTTCACCAGCTGGCTGAGTACAGCTTTTGCATCTCGTAGCCCAGTACCAACCACCAACTTTCAGCTTGGCCCGTGAACCTGTCCGGAGTGACTGAACCCAGGTCTCACACGATGTGTATATTCTTCATGGCAAGGTTGTTCATTTTATGCAGGTAAGTGAGGATAGTCTTAAGGTCCCCATCCCACTGAGGAACAGAGTTGCGCAAGATCTTCTGGTCAAGACGGACCCCTTGTTTGCGAGGCACGGGAGAGTGATGGATAATGATTGCTGTTTGGCTGTTAGGCAAGTGTCCATAGGCGTAGCTTCCCGGTGGAGGTGGGTCTCCACCTGGTGGTCCTCCACCCGCAGGCTGGACATGGCGGACGAGGAGAGTCTCCATTTCCTTCTCCACCACCACCTCCACCTCCACTCCGCCGCCTCCGCCCCCACCTCCTCCGCTGTTACCACTGCCGCTGCTGGGGCCACCACCGTTTCCTCGAGGTGGGCCGTATGGGGGTCCCCTTCCGTAGTTGCCGGGAGGATCCTCTGGGTACTTCAGAGGGTCTGTTTGGCTTGGGAATTGCATCGAGGGAGGGACTTTCCCTCCACTCGCCGCGTATCTGGTAGGAGGAGCGCTGTGGAACGAGGCTCAGTTCAGGGGTAGCATCGAGGGAGGGACGGTCCCTCCACTCGTTGCATTACCAGTAGGAGGAACGTTGTAGTGGTAGATGTAATCACCATTGGCCCCTTTGGCCGCGTTAGATGGGGCTTGGGAGGCTGAAAGGGTGGTTTGAGGCATGTGCAGAGGTAGGTCGTGTTGCGCCCCTTGAGAGCCTGGGTACAGAGATTCCATACGCCAGACTGGTTGGGGATGCATGGAGGACAATGGTTGACCTTGTGGGAAGACCGTGTCCCGGACAGTTTGAGCGGCTCCGAAGTCGGGAAGGGCATTTGAGTCGACTCGGTTCCAAGGACCAGAGGACTGCCGTTCGTTGATAGGAGGCGCAGTTGGGCACGACTGAGAGTACTGAGGCTGAGACTTTGGCGGTGGGTCTTGGAACTGTACGTGGCGAGCAGGTTCATCTTGAGCGGGCGGCAAGCCAAAGCCGGGATTGCCGAAGCTCGAACGATTCGTGTAGCGAGGGCGGGAGTCAACATTGGACAGAGGGAAAGGTGTGAGGACGGGAGCTTCGGTGCGCATAGTGGGCTCATCAGTGGTATACAAGATGCCTTGAGTGAGTTCTTGCTCAAATACCTCAAGGGGTGCCATCGATTAGACAGATGGATTGAGTCCATCCTGCAAGATAGATGCATTGTGCACTATTGGATCCACCAGGAGGGAGTTCGGTAGGATCTTGAAGTGTTGCTCGAACACGATGTGAGGTAGAGGTGGTGTCTCCTCGTCGTTCTGAGCGGCCTGAATCCGACGAAGTACAACTTCTTGGTATTCTGGGGTTAGGTTGGGGAATACGTCGGGCTTCTTCAGCCACTTGTCGAGCATTTCACGCTTGGTCTTGGACATAGTAAGCTCCATGCTGAAATCTGAAGCAGTCAACTTGACTGAGGTAGGGTACGAGTGTCCACAATGCAGAGCTTGTCGTTGATGGATCAAGGTAAGTGCTTTTGCCTTGCGGTATTGAAGGGTTCGGTGTGCATCGGAGACCATTCCTCTTGAAGAGGACCTATGCAGCACACTCATCAAGACGTCAGCATGGTCAGACTTCCATCGACGAGTCACACTCTCCAATCGAAGCATAGCGTTCACCAGGACTTCAAGCCCTTCTACGACGTACTCAGTGCAATGTTGATGCTTAACCAGTAGGCTGTAGCAGAACTCCTTGTCTTCTACAATTTTGGAGTTGTGGATGTCATCCGTCTCAAGTTCTTCGTTCACTACGTAGTTGCTTTCGTAGAATAGAAAGCCGTAGCGGTCGAGAGTGTCTGGAGCACTAAGGCTCCGGTAGATGTGTTGGGCTTCCTCGGGGCGATGGAGATGGGCAAAGAATAGACCAGCATTGTCAAGCAGATCCCGAAGATGGACGGGGTCGACAGCCTCTTTGGCGGCTTGACGCATATCTGAAGAGGAAGGCGGGCTCGGCGAGCTTTGTTTGTTCTTAGAGGAGGGTCGCCAGGGCGTGGACGTAGCTTGAGGCTCGACTCCTCTAAGGATGGACAGAGAGGGCTTGTCGGGCACGGGCATGTGGATCTTCGATGCTCCGGGTGTCGCAAGATTGGTAGGCTCAGAGGGACCAGTTTGTTGAGGTGTACGCGGTTCAGGCTGAGCCGTGCTAGAGCTGCTATCTTCACGGGATGGGGTGGCAGGCGCGTCAAGCGAGGAGTTCCTCACCTTGTCATGGCTCCCGGAGCCCACGAAGAAGTTACTGAATGGTCCTAGTTGAGCTGAGGACCAAGCGGCTTCAGTTGCATTCAACGGAGAGCGAAGTACTTCACTTGTCCGGTTGAAGGACGAAGGTCCGGGTATGGGTGCTGTGCGGTCATTAGAGGTCACCTTCTTTGTTCGTCTCGAGTCCGGAGCTTCAGAGGGAGCAGCGGGACTGGGGGCAGAGATGAACATGAAGGGAGTGGTCGATCCAGAAGGGATGATAGAGGTTGGAGAGGTAGGGCGTGCGGGGTAGCCTAGGAACGATGTACTGGCCGGGAGTGACGGAGTTGACATGGTGAGGAGAGGTGAAACGGTTCGCTAGGTAGTGGACCGCTCCCGTGAATGTCCACCAATGTTAGGGCTCGGTGGTTCGAGTCCTGTACACAGGGGGCGGTGTTACAAGTCGCCATCTAACGTACTTTTCATTTTGTTTCACTTTGTATCTTTAACCACCTTGCGTGCACAAGGACCGGTTATGTACTGTACCGCACCCGGACTATCACGTGATAGCTGACTCTAGCTGACTCGTTTCTTCGTCATGATTACCATTCCCTTCGTCAGCGATGATATATCCTGACTCATGCTTACTATACGCTCTGACTCAGACTCCTTCACTTGTATATATACCTGTACAGTAGAGGTCGGACTCTTCAGTTCGACCTGGTTAGCAATTGATGCTAGCTTCCTCATACCGCTACCGCTTCGGAACTCGACTAGGACGAAGGGACTCGCGTCCTTCCTAGGTCTAAGATAAAGAACTCTTCCTCGAAGTTAGTAGCCTTGCAAGCTTGTGGGCTTATAGTGTTCCACTCGCCTAGCTTCGCGTAACAGGCGGGCTACCCGGCGAGACTAACAATGGTGGTCGCTTGGCGACCGGGGCAGATGAGTGGGTGAGTCTTGAGGTCGTTAAGGGGGCGTAGAACCCATAGAGGTCGTACGAGGACTGTTGAGTCCTCGCTAAGGTCGTCCACACGGCTGTTGAGCTTGCGCTGGCAGTTGGCGATGAGCTGGACTGTAAGGGAGTCGGCGACAGGCCTATCCCAGGCGCAGCAACAAGCTAATGCCTTCGAGACGAGAGCACAACGAGCACTCTCGTTGATGGCCAATCCCGCAGTTGTACAGCATGAAGATCTCGTGCGCAGACGATGTGGTTGGGAGTAAAAGGCTGCTTTCCATTCTGGTAAAGCACGTGTCTTCGCGAGACATGCACCTAAGTGTACAAATTGGGAAACAAGTAAGTAAGTACAGTGATGGACATAAATGAATACAGTGTTCTCGCAAGTATCTAGGCCCGGGCAACGAATGCCTGCGGGTTGCGGTTATTGTACGTAGCGCAGAATAGATTGATGTACGTGGTCTTAATCCTATCCACCGTGTCCGTAACAGCTCCGGTGAGTATGGGGGGCATTTGTGGCTCCTGCATTCACTCATGTTGCCAGCAGACAAGGCGGATACCTCGGCTGACCTGGAGCTTGCGTGCAGCAAGGCAGGCAAGCCTGGCGTTCAGTCTGACTCGCATTCTGGTAAGTCAACATGTATTCTGGGCTGGCATTGTACACTAACACAGTTTTCCTTGATAGACTCCGAGTTGGACACTGCCGAGCCGGTGAATGAGTCGAAGGAGGCCAAGAGGGTGTGCCTGATTGACACTGCACTCGCAGCCATCAATGCATCGGGCCTCAAGCCCAACGGAAAGCCGGTCATGTCTATTCGCAGCACCACCAAGGTGTACTTGCTGGGAGAGGGCCATGACTGGCAGTACGATCCCTTCGGTACTGTAGCACGTTTTTACAAGTTAGGCAACCTTGACATAGAGACCTATTGTCATATGTCTGTTCCCTGCACTGCACAGTTGCAAGCCACCACTTGCAGTCAGGATACCTTCATCAGTGCAATTCTGTCCTGTCTCTTTGCCATCATTGAACCAGATATGACCATTTGTTGATATTATCCTTGCTGTGAAGTGGAATCCACCAAAGTAAATCACCCCACACAGTCGGTAAGAGGTGTTACCTAAGGCAGTGTTAATGTCCACCTTTTTCTCTAGCCTAGTGCAATCTGCCCTGTATACATTAAATGCAATAAAATTGGGTGCTGTTGTAAGAACTTCTTCATGGATCATAGTTGCATTACAAAAGTGGCATCTAGTTACAAGTTTGTGCTTCTGGGTGGCTTTGACCCAATGGGAAGTTGTCTGTGTTGTCACATGGCGCCCCGCGCAATCCTGGAATCCCACAATGCAGCATCCAATGTCCATAGCTTGGTTGAAGAAGTGGTCACATGTTGGGAGACATGGCATGAGGAGCATCGGTCTGTCTCATTGCAGTAGTCCATATCATGAGAAAGCATCTGCTTGCACAGAGCATACAGATCAGACCCTGCAGGAGCTACCATGGGGAATGAGTTTGGATCATCATTGTGCAGCATCTCATGCATTCTGTCCCGGACACTGTTGAGGTTGGTTTTGTTTTGGTGGACCTGCTGCAACATGTCTGTGAAAGCTGAGAGATATTTGTTTTGATGAGCTATATGCTGCTGCCAGTACATGTTCTGTTCTTGGTAAACACAATGCAAAATGCCCAGCAGACTGTCAAATGCACAGCTATATGTCTCTTCATTCCAGTCAAAACAGAGTGGCATATTGCTATTATTTGCCAGTGGTCGTGCTCTCTTTGCTGGCCTGTCATTACTATCTTTATGTGTACCTTGTCCCAGGGCCTCTTGCGCATGTTACCACCAGTGTCTGTACTCACAGTTGCAAGCTGTACAGCACCTTTGGCAGGAATATACTTGGCTGCCTGCAAATCCTGTTGGGAGATCTGTTGTGTATCTTCACTTGCTGCTTGCTCAGCAAGCTCATCTGTGCTTCCTTGTTTTGCATTCTTCTTCTTTGGATGCTCTACTACATCAGGAAAAATCTGGATGTCTTTCTGTTCTTGTATAAGTACCAGATCCAAATAAGCCACAAAAGGTGCCTGAGACAAGTCCAAATCTTAAACAGTCTTATTGAGACGTGAAAGGCACATTTAGTCTTTGTCACTTCCACAAGACCCTTGTGCCACCTCTAATTGAGCTCCTCTCGTACTCTAAATTAAGACACAATGTTGGCAAAGAACGTTCCTCCTTTATTTACTTTGGTGCTTATTTGTGCTCTGCTGTGCACTGCGTTCACTCAGAATATTTGCGTACAAAATGATAGATAATGTGGGTATTCCATGGTAGTACTGTTACAACAAAGACAACAACATTCAATGGCAGTAGCATTACAACAAAGCAATCATATCAGCAATGACCACGAGAACCACGAGAACATAGCGAAAAGCAAGAAGGAACTACAAGCACAACGTACACCTCGTAAACCGTACAACAACTCGAGCTCGCCACTCGAGTGCCTTCGTTACGTCGTTCCAGGGTAGATGAGGTGATGGTACTACGAATTAATGTTTGTTCCCCTGTGCAGAACATTACCAATAACCACACGTTACTAGTACCAGTAAATACACTTACCTTGGATGACGACTAGTAGTGGAGCTGTTCAGGCGTTCGCCGCTGCAAAGACTTTTATCAAAACATAAACCTGCTCCAGCAATCGAAGCTTACCGTCGCCTTCACCCTCGTTGACGAGCTCCTGCCCTTCGTCATGCTGCTCGATGATCTCATGCGTATGCGTAACCCCTTCGCCCTCAGGCTCGTCGCGATCCTCCTTGTCCAGCTCGTCGACTTCTTGATCAGCGCCACGCTTCGGCGACTTCGCACTAGAGGTTTTGGCCGACGATTTGGCCGACGATGAAGTTGGCTTGCCGGATCCTGAAGGTGGTTTGACTGGTGCACCAGACCTCCTCGGACTCGACGACGTGCTTGCCACCTGCGCCATGCTCGCGGGTTTCAACGCCTGACTCGTGCTGATGGACGTCGCCCTCTTCCTCTCTTGGACAGGAGACCCCTTGCCGACTTTCGAACGCAGGCGATCTATCTTGAGGAAGCTACCGTTCCCATTGTCGGATTCTTCTTCGTCCACCGTGTTCGCTTTCATGCGACCTCTGCCGACGTCATTGTGAGGTGAGCGAGCAATTGTGTACAACCTGTCTACACCACTTACGAGATTTGTGCCCAAATGATGGCCTTCGTCTCTCGATAGTGCTCAGGCGCCTCAGCCTTGAGCGTCGCCAGGATGGCCATCAGGCCATCCCACCTACTACTAGTTAGCAGTGTGCCATCCTCGAATCAATAGATCACTTACTTAGCCGCGAACTGCTTGTTCGCGAAGAAGTTAGCCTGTCCACGAATGACGACCTCCGTCAGTGCAGACTCAATCTGTTGCAGGTATTAAGAAAGCTGTACGATCACAGAAACTATACTCACAGCATTGCACACCACAGCTATCAGATTGTCCGGCACCTTGCGAAAATCGTCCATCGCTGCATGTATGTTGGCGTCGGCGCGCGCACCCAAAGCCCACTGTTGGTAGATGAGCTCTGCAATTGCCTCGTGGCGGAAAGGCTCGTCCTGGTTGAATGTAGTCGCCTTGCTCGTGTTAGATTTTTGAATGCATATTAGCAATTAGCTATCTCACTCACCTTCAAGTCTAAACGCTTTCGCTGGTCGAAGACGATGTCGATGTCACTGAAGACGAAGTTCGGGATATGGCGTGAACCCCCCTCGACAACGTCCGTTGCGTGCGTTCGGAGCAGCCATGCGGCTACTGCGCTTCTTTGCTCGGCAGACAGGCCTTGCAGGCCATACATCTGGTCAACGGCAACCTTGGCTTTTCTCTTGAGCTCATTGCGGAACTGGGATGCACTCGCCCAGACCTGAAACTGATCAGTGTACCAACCACCCAGCACGAACAATTTACTTACCACGGTGTAGACGTTCTGCTGCAGCTCAAGACGCTCTTGCTCAGCCTTCTCCTCCTCCTCGCGCTCTTTCTCAGTCTTCTCTCTCTCAGGCTTCTCGTCCTTGCTCTTTGACTTCGGACTGATCAACTGGAACGCCCTCTTCAGCGCCTTAATGCGTTTGCCATCCTTGTCGCGCATATCGCGCGCATCCTCCACGCTGTAACGAATCAGAGCGTCTCGCTTCAGTAGGCGTCCGCTGACCACTGATGATTCCGACGTCCATGCGGTCTTGAGCGAGATTCGCAGGCGCAGGCAGTTCTGCGCTGCGGTGACGAGGGCTCTGACGTCGATGGGAAGGTCGGTCACCTTGGCTCGCTCCCTGCGCCCTCGACCTTTGGAGCGCTTCTGCTTACTCTTGCCCATTTGCTCAGGCAAGACCTGTATGTTGAGCTACGAATTGAAACCCAGTAGTTCGCGACTCACCACTACACCGTCGTCATCATCTTCCTCCTCGAGCTCGTCGTCATCTTCCTCATCTTCATCGCTGCCTTTGCCTCCTTTCGGCTCGTACTCCTCGTCCTCGTCACTATCATGGTCGTCACTCTTGTGGGCGTCGCTGTCGTCGCTGCTACTCGCACTAGTATGTCTCCCAGTCTTCTTCTCCTTGCCCTTGTTGTTCGCCTTCACTGCTGAACTGAGGGCTGAAGACTGAACAAGCATTAGCACGTAGCAAGGCCATTTTAACTCAGAATACCTTCGCTGGCACCGGCACGTCAATGTACACTTTGCGCCTCATCACCGACGGCGATGGTGGGTCGCCCGACGATATCGTCTTCTTGGAAGATGGAGACGCAGCCAGCTTCTTCGGCTTCGTAGCGATCTGTTGATCCTGGTAGCCAGAGTCGTCCCTTGAATCATCACTGAGGTGCACAGCCTTGCTTTTACCCTTTGTAGATGCCGTCGCACCTGTAGTATCATTTGCTTCAATTGCAATTAAATGAACGTGAGGCTGCTCGACGTACCGAGCGACTTCGCAACAATTGCCTCGTCCTTGTCCAGGTAGGCTGATTTCCTCGCTGTCTGTTGAGCTCCCCTGTAAGCTGGCTTCGGCTTGGCTAAGGTGCGGAGAGTTTAATGATCTTTATCGCTACAAAAATGAGAAGACGTACGTCGAGCCCGAACTTCCTTCTCCTCGTGCCCTCCGATATGCCCATCCCGTGGTTCTCCTGACTTTCCTTGTGCTCGTCACTGCGAACCTCCTCATCAACCGCCGCGTCTTCGTCTTCGTCTGCGCTGTCCTTCATCTCCGCCTCTGCACCTGAGCTATTCGCCTGATCAGAGTCTCCGCTGGCTTTCTTCTTCTTCTTGCGCTTGGGCTGCTCTTCTTCCGAAGAACCTTCCTCGTCCCTGATCATGGTGGCCACTCTCTTGCGGACGCCTACGATCGTGGACTGCTCGTGAGTCTAGGCTATTGTTGCATACCTACTCTGTACTCACCCTTCACATGCGACTCCTTGTCAGCTTTCTTCGCATCCTTGGCTTTCTTGAGAAGTTTCGCTAGGGCCTGAGCGTCGGACGCGGATAGACCACTGGTATCGACATCCGGAACGTCGCTGTCAGGCGACGCCTTGTTGGCAGTTTGCTTAGCTTTCGCGCGCCCCTTCTGACCGGCGCCTCGTGCAGCTTGCGGTGTTTGGCTAGAGGCTGAGGCTTGCTTTCGAGCACCGGAACGAGTGCGGGACGCCATCACGAGAACTGCGAGACTACTGACAGTGGTAGCAAGATGAGGGCGGACAGTGCCCGGCGGGAGCTTTCGCTGATTCCGAAGGCCGCCGCGCTCGCGGAGTTCGCGTTTTATCGATCAACTTGAAGAGTCTTAACTTACACGCCAGCTCTACAGTGTATGAACTTTGTTGTACCGTTCTTCTGCAGTAGAACGAATGTCATTATTCATACACTAATTAAATGAATCATTGTGAGCCCAGCCATTACGATCATTGTAGCACCATTTCGAAATTTCCTTGTCTGTATGTAAGACGATAGACGCACGGCGTCCCTCATAATGCAAGTTGAAGTGAGTAATACGACACGAAGGGAAAACACAAAGTCACCGCAGGTCAGAGGGATGACAATGCCTGGTTCATCCAGACATAGCTCTCCTCCAACAAAATCTCCCACCGCCAGCACTAGACACATGTCGTAGTCTTTGTTGTCTCGGTGAGCTTGTGTGACAACGTTCAAATTGATCACAAGACCCAGGAAGGGAGCCGAGAGCGCATGGTGTTGCCTGGTAATATCTCCACGAACTCCTCTAGTCTGGTGTAGAAGTTTGGGAACATCGTAGCTAGCTAATCCAATGTAGTCAGCTTAAGCGGTGTATCATAAAACGAATTAGATCACCTTGTTGTCGAGCCACTCGAAGACGTCACCGAGCACGTTTCGCAGTGAGCGATAGATGTCTTGTGCGCAGCCATATCCTTGGACATGTAAGGCAACATTTGACCGTAGTTTATTTTGAGACCGTTGGGTCGTGTTAGCATTGCTGGAGGCACATTGCTAGGGGCCGTGTTGCCCTACATGAATTGTAATGGCGGTACATGACAATTGCAGGAATACATACCTGTGTGCAGTGGCGGTTATACCACGAGAAGTGCAGCACTTCAAACGTTTGATCACCACCAGACGATGCAGTCTGCATCGTCTTCAACGGATCGAAGGGAAAGCAGGAGGTGAGGCGATCCGCCAGGCACTCGCGCATGTGGGTCGGCATCGAAGTACAGATGCCGACGATAGTATCTGCGTTAGTATCTTGAATAATAAGAACGTCCCTCCAAAGAACTTAGAACGAAGCCGATGAACATAGATTAGGGAAACACTCACTCGCACATGAGTTGCGATATCTTCACATATTGATCATTGTTCAATCGACAGCCGTCGGAATACATTGTGTGCAGCTAGATCGATGAGGTACGTCAGCTTACATCTGCATCCGTAAATTCATAAGACCTTAACCTGTAGCTCAAGTGCTTGACAGCTTGTTGGAACTGTCGCTCTGGCAGCCAAGACGCGTCTCTTCTCGGTCCAGAGGGTGTTTTCTTGCCGGTCTCTTGATGCAGAGAAACGTTGGTTTCGCTCATGCCGGATGTCGTATGACGTTGTGATCACTGCAAAACAATGGGCCGCGGAAATTGGCAGATTACTAGACGTAGGATCCGTTTCGCAGGTGTCTAGTTCGCGAAGTGGCGAGAGTGGCGAGAGTGGCGAGAGTGGCGAGAGTGGCGTCAAGGGCGATAACTCTCTTGGATCGCAGACCTGACAAGCTTCTTGAGAGACAGGAGCACTGGGTTCACTTGGACACCGGGATTCAGGAGGGATCTCCACGGTACACGAGGACCAGCAAATGGTGTCACGAGAAAGGAGGGCGAAGGAGCTAAATACTTGACTGCTCAGCGCACATTGTTTGACAGGCACCAACCCTACGTACTTGGATGAGACAACTTTGAAGAACGTGTCAGAGCTGTCAAGATCTCCGCAAAGCGATTGTGTTGAGAGTCCTTGCGATGCAACGTTGTCCAGACCAAACAAGTCCAATAGGCGTAACGGACAATTGGCCCTCAGCAGAGACACCACAGGTATGAGCGTATCTCGAACAGCTCGTCCTGCCGGTGTATCTGTTTCATATGTTAAGTACTGCTATGTCCAGGAAAACAAAACACGTGCTCACTCGGATTCGGTCTTCGCATAATGTTGGCAATCTCTTCACTGATCGTACCTTCGGCTTCAGCTAGTCGAACACGAAGCCCCTTGAAGGCAATCACGAGGAGAGCATAGACAGTTCCTGCGGAATATGTGAGACGTTGTATACATTCAGGGCGAGCGTTCTTACCTCCTTCAGCTATCTTCGCAAACCTTGTACCCAAGGTATACCACGATTGCAGTGCGCGTTTGGAGGGTGCATTCTCTAGGTGCGATATGTGGTCCCTCCAAATCTTTGCAACATTGACAGCGCTCGGCTTAGAAATACTAGACGTTCCTTGTCAGAAAGCAATTAGTCGACAGTAATATATATATCTCACCGTATGAATTTATACACTAGTTGTATAAGCAGTATCATGCAGCTGAAGTCGTGTGCTGCCCCTTTGCGTTCGAGAGCAGCGCAGCGTTGCACTAAACCGACCAGAGTTCCAGACGTTGGAAGACATCGTTCCGAGGCGGACATAGCACCCTCGACATTACCTAGCGAGACGACTGAGTGAGAAGTCGCCAACACCTGATCCCTGTTAAGACAGGTGGTGAGGTTGGCTATGAAGTTTGTAGTTGCCGGTCTAGCTCCTTGGAGTCGTGGTTCAGCCCTGGTCTCCCACTCTGACCTTGGCTCAGCACAGATGAAATCTATGCCGCCTCTGGGGCACGGTGGTAGCATATACGCCGCTACCGACCTATCATTGGACACGGTTCCACGTCCTCGCCGGTCCGGACGAGGGTAAGGTGTGTGCTTGGAGGCACGTCGCTGCTCACGGCGTCTCGGTCCCAAGCTCTCTAAGAAAGCAGCATATCAGACAAGAGCATCGTAGTCTAATCACAACACACCTATGGGATTATCTGACATGGCTTCATGATCTTGATCACCAGTTGAAGACAAGGAGACGTGCACCTCTGAAGAGAATATGAGCATGTCAAGAAATTGAGATAGGCCACTCACCCTCAGTGACGTCGACATCTGCGACTATTTGCCTTTCTGCCGCGACTATTTGCCTTTCTGTCGCAGTATGTGCAACACTTTCTGCAAGTGCAGATGCTGCATTGTCTTCATTCGGACGGTCTTCCGATCTTGGAGACCCGAGTTGATCGTACACACCTCGTAAACGATCGCGTAAGGCCAACAGAGTAACACTAAGTCTCGGAGCTCCGACAAGGAGTTCCAGAACTTCTTCGGCCTCGGTCTCAGTGAGCTGCATCTTGCGTTGCAATGAAGGAGTTGAGATTGAGTCAGTGGGACGTACTAACGAGGATCCTGGCAAGGTCGAGGGCAAATAGCCACAAGCAATGCATTCATCTTCTGGTGCAGCTACGCGCCTTGGAGTCCAATAACCCATTGACAATGTGACATAGTGTGTATTCCGATAGTGCGTAATGTTACAAGCGTACAACAGACATCACAGTACTACATGACGAGCCGACTGACGAGCGATATAACAGGATGTGCGGTACGGCGAGCGACGAGCGATAAGCGATACGGCGAGCGAGTTTGGAGAGAAGTACGGACAGCTATACCACAGCAAGACTACCAGGGACAATGTGAAGGTGGAGGATGAGGTGCCTAGGTGACGTTGTACGGAGCGTAGAGTGAATTGCCCGAACGTACGACACACGACGCGCGATGTCCAAGTCCGCACAGATAGTACACCTCAACCTTCTTCGACGGAAAGAACACTCACTCAGACTCCGGTTCGTTTGAGACATCACGATGACGCTTCAACTCGCGCTCGCGCTCTTCGTGCAGTTCCTCCCACTGCTCCAGCTTTCGCTTCAAGTACTGGTCGTGCGCATCGCTCTCGTCCAGCAAGTCCACGCTCTCGTCTATCTCGGCAGCAGGCGGATCCGGCGAGTACCCGCAGCATTCCCTCTTGAAGGTCTCGAAACGCTGCTTCGCCGTAGACACCGCACCGGCTTCAATGAACTTGATGAACTCGTCCACCGGCACTTCGCCCACGTTCGCTTTCTGTGCTCCCGGATTTCTGAACGGAGCCCTGCGCATGAAATCGTTCCACGCTACGGCGACGCCCTCCTGCTTGTACACGTCGACGCCGGCATCCTTCTGGGCCTTGTCGTAGGCCTGCCAAGCATTACCTCCCTTCTCCCAGAGGCGAGACTGGTACATCGAGAAGACCGTCTGCCAGAGGCTCGTGAACTCCTTGAGTTGTTGTTCTTCAGCGCCTTCGTACTTCTTTTGTAACTTCTAGAAAATTGGTATGCTGTGAGTTCAGAGTCAACCAGAGTTCGCGCTGCTCAACTCACAATCCCAAAGCCCTCCTCCACCCATCGCGACAACGTCCATTGAGCCTGGTAGCCCCGCTTCAACGCCGCTCGGTGCTGGTTGGCGAACGATATCAGCACCAGGTACGCCTCGAGCTCCCCGCAGAACGTGTGCTCGCCGATGGTAACTTTGCCAGTCAGCCTCTCCTTCGGATCGCCAGGGTCGTGCATGCACAGCGTGTCGTCCTCAATCGGCGACCAGCGATCCCGCAACGCTTTCTTTTGTGGAGGCGTAGGCTTGTTCGAGGGGAATGGAGAGTGGTACTTCGGATGCTCGATGATCTTGATCGTCATCATGAACACGGGCAAGTCCTTAGGGTCTTGGTTCAACGTCCTGGGACCACTGTACTGGCCGAACTATAGACATGTTTAGAGACATTCGAACTGCAGCTAAACCGCTACGTACCCGATACAGAACATGCTCCCAAGGCTCGTAGAAACCCTTCTCAAATATTCCGACTACGTGTTCACCGTACTTGCTCCGCAGAATGTTGTTCTTGCAGCGCAAAAGGTCCGGGAAGCTCAGAATTACAGCGCCGTCAGGGACTAACAGCGCAGGCCCGATCTGCCTTCGCACATGGCTGGAAGGGTCGTTAGGAGCAGGAAGAGGGCCGACGAACTCCCTCTTCGTCTCGGCAGATAGGACGCCCTGCAACCCAGGCACTTTCAGGACGTAAGATTCGCCGTAGCGCGTAGTAACGATAGAGGCCATGAAGTTGGACACCTTCTCGTGAAGGAGGGTAGGGGTAGACATGATGAGAACACGGCGATCGCAGTCGTATTGGAAGCTATGGCGAGGGAGAATCGGTTAAGCCCAAACATGTACTACCTGCGCCAGGGACTCACGAGAAGAGGCGGTAGAGGTCGTCGTCCCGGTGGAGCACGTCTTCAACAAGCTGATCCCAGTCGCTCGGTTCCAGCTCGATAGTCTGCCGCGTAATCAGACATGCAAGGCATGCGCTAATGTAATAGCCACTCACTCTCTGAACGTCCAGAATGTACGGCCAGTCCGGGTCCAGGAGTAGATCGGAGAAGACCTTTTGAAGTACAGTCTCTGGGTGTTCGTTGTCGGTATCGTACGCGTCGCTTTGGTCTGTATTGGTGGCGTTGGCGGTGTCCGCGTTGGAGGAGCTCGAACGTGCTTCTGAGTCCGAGTACTCTGTGCAAGAGTCGGGAACGCAGGCGATATGTAAACCAGACAGTTACTCACCGTGTAGTAGTTGCCCGTTATCTGATTCTATATCGTCAACCGCTACGACAATCCCTTCTAAGCTATCGTCGCGGCCCAGAGGTGTGAGGTTGTGGCTATCCCTGTAGTCCAAGTCGATCGACTTGGCTCCGTCAGTAAGTCCAGGAGTATTGTAGAAAGACGGTCGGTAGGGCTGCGACACCCGAGCGGGATGACGGAGAGAAGCCATGGTGTGGGCCGAAGGGAGACACAGCGATAGAACTCTTCTTGAAGGGTGACTAGGACCTGAGCAGCGGATCCGGAGGCTCCTTAACCTTCCCACCGCAATCCGGCGGCCTGTCACTGTCAACGGTCCCTGGCGGCACGTGGCAACAGTGCATGGAGCTGCATTCTCCCACGCCACTGCGCTAGCGCAAAGGTACGCGAAGCGCGAGTACCGTAGATCGCGAACCTACAGACCGCGAGTCGTAGAGGTAGGTATTAGGACTCACTTTTTGCCAATAGTATAGCAGTTGTCGATCAACGATCGACGATCGACGGTGCGCGAACGGCTGGTTACGGTTGGTTTGACGGAGAGCGACAACCCAGGTGAGACTGACCGGAGAACACAACCTAGTAAGTTCGTGCACAGAGACAGAGACAGGAAAGGTAGGAGATGGGAGGAGAGAACGAGAATAACCGCCGCAGTGTGGGAACGCACGCTTTCCCGCGGATATGCCTGTCAAGACTGTTATGTAACGGAAGGCCAATTGAGTAAGGAACCTCTGGGGCGAATAGGCGTACCCGAGAGGCGCGCACACGTCTTGAGAGGCCTTTTTTGCCTTCTCCGCTAGGCCTACGATCTGGTGAGCCAGTCCGTCCTCTGACTTTTCGACTGCTGTGCTAATTTGGAGGTAGGCTATGGGAAAAAGACGGCGCTCACTGGAAGATGTGCTCTCAACAACGTGCGCGGCGTGCAATGAAGGCTTCGACACTATGCAAGGTCTCTCGGCGCACCAGACCATGAGCAAGAGATGCGCCTGGTACAAGAAGGGAAAATTAAGAGAAATATTCGACTTTGACGATTTCGATTCTTCCAGTGATGATGAACGCCTTGAGGTTGTGGGACGGTGAGTGCTGTGAATCCTTAACAGTGACATTCGATATTCAAATTTATGTAGAGACGGTGACGGTGTCGACGACGACGACGACGACGACAGGGGCGAAGGCGGAAGCGGATTATTCGCTGGGCAGCAGGATTACTCTGGTAACCCTCATAGCACCCCCATCAATTCATCCGTGTCTTCAGATGAAGACCCAGAGGATCAATCAGACATAGGATCCACATTCGACTTCATTGAGGTCTCGGCACCAAGACAGCAAGGCGCCTCTAGCGTTGCCGGACCGTCTTCGAGGGCCTCCAGGCGAAACACCCTCGCTTTGGACGACAATGAGGACAGAAGAGTGGAAGATATCGATATGAACGCGGCAACGGTGATCCGAACGAATGAAGACATACGGAGGAGCTGGCTGGATCAGAGGGAGAGGGAGAGGGAGAGGGAGGCGCAACCACCAGGTGAGTACGCTATACAGTACATCCAGTCCTGTTACTGAGAGACTCCAGACAAAGACCAAGAACAGACCGAAGATGAGGCAGAAACCGCAAACCCTTGGGTGCCGTTCCAGTCCGAGATGGACTGGAGGTTCGCGTCTTGGGCGGTTCAGGAGGGCCTCAGTCAATCCTCTGTAGACAGAGTCTTGGAAATACCTGGGGTAGGTCGTCGTCTTTTGCTTGCACTGTCTTGACATATAGTACTCACAAATACTTATGTGGCTACGGTTTCTTAGTTTCAGGAAAGGCTGGGTCTATCCTATCACAATTCACGTGTGCTGCTTCAACGAGTAGACTCACTTCCGGAGAGGGCCGAGTGGAAAGAGAGGTGGCTGAGCTTCAAGGATCGACCTGACGAGAGGCACTTGGTACAGTTCCGCGACATAATCGAGGCGATACGGACCTTATTGGGCAATCCTGCCCATGCCGATCAGATAGTCTATCGACCACGTCGTATATTCAGCGACTCATCCCGAACTAGTCGCATCTACCACGAGATGTGGACTGGACGGTGGTGGCATGCCGTGCAGGTGAGTTTTCTTTTTACTGTACTTTAGTGAGTGAGCCAATATTTACCTTGACCTCAGAGCCTCTTGCCTGATGGCTCTGCCGTCGCGCCGGTCATCATCGCGACGGATAAGACGCAACTCACACAGTTTTCTGGTGGAAAATCGGCCTACCCTGTCTACATGACACTCGGCAACCTGCCTCGCGCTCTGAGACGCAAACCGTCCGAACACGCGTGTATCCTCATTGGGTACCTCTCCGTGGACAAAGTCGATTCGAACGGGATCACCAAGCGCAAGCAACGCGCGCTCGCTCAGCAGCTATTTCATACGTCCGTCCGCGTCATTTTGGAACCACTTGTCGAAGCCGGAAAAACTGGGATCGAGGTGACAGGAGGAGACGGTGCAGTGCGCAGGGTGCACCCGATTCTAGCCGCATACGTCGCTGATTATCCGGAACAATGTTTGGTGACGTGCTCGAAGTACGGGACGTGTCCCAGATGTCAACTCCCAGAGGACAACCTCGAGTCGCCCACTCCCGGAACAGCGCGAACGTCCCTATGGACCCTCGATGTACTGCGACGCGCAACCGAGAAAGCGGCGGCAAGAAGGATTCGGCTGCGTATGCGAAGGCGTGTAATGAACTGAACGTCTGTGGATATATAGTACGTCCCTTCTGGCGCGACCTGCCTTACACCGATATCCACGCGTGTATCACACCGGATGTCCTACACCAGTTATATCAAGGGGTATTCAAGCATATAGTACAGTGGTGCTCCGAACTAGTCGACGAGCAGGAGCTCGACCGTCGTATCCGTTGCCTGCCACCTGCGTTCGGAACGCGCCATTTCAAGAACGGTATCTCTGCTCTAGCTCAGGTCTCCGGCACCGAGCGCAAGTACATGGCGCGTATTCTACTTGGATGCTTGGTCGGCAAGATCCCCAAGAACGCTGTACTTGCTTTTCGTGCCATCCTCGACTTCATCTACTTGGCACAGTACTCGACGCATGACGATGCAACCCTAGGATACATGGAGGATGCGCTCAAGGCTTTCCACAAAAACAAGGAGGTTCTCGTAAATTGCGGTGTACGAGAACATCTCAATATTCCTAAATTCCACTCACTTCTACATTATGTCGACTCAATTCGCATGCTAGGAACGACGGATAACTACAATACCGAGGCGTTCGAACGCCTCCATATCGACTACGCGAGAACGGCTGGCGTGCATCTAATCACCGGAACGCACGCCCGCAAATGGTCAAGTGGCTTGCACGCCAGGAGAAAATGGTCGTTTTCAGCTCGACAATGCGGAGACGATTGCAGAGGGATGTCGATGAAGATGATGATGAAGAAGACTATTCCGATACCGACCCAGCCGTCGCACCCCCAGGCAAGACTAGCATCAAACTACCGAAGCATCCTACAGTTCGAATGCAGTCACTAGACCGTATTGAAGACAGACACAAGGCACCGGGCTTCGCGAACACCCTAGCACGATATATCTATATGCTCAAGAACAACCGTCGTCTCACTCCCACCGAGCTCCATACCGCCGTCTCTCGCATGCCCTTCGATCGCGTTGACGTGTTCCATGGCATCAAGTTTGCGCCGGAATCGTTGACTGACGACAAGAACGAGACTGACGCCGTCAAGGCGCGTCCTCCAATCGGAGAACAACCAGGTCGTTTCGACACTGTTGTCGTGTTGCAAGATGGGGACGCTGAAGCCACAGGATTGCAAGGTAATATCTCTGAACGTTGCTGCTCTACATAATTCTGATGCTGATATGCACGCTCACTGATAGGCACTAGAATCGGACGCGTCAAAGTCATTTTCAGGCTTCCTGAGCGCATCAAGGACCCTCGCACTCGCCTTCCCCTGATGGCTCCTGAAGCATGGGCAGAACAAGGACCACTTGCATACATAGAGTGGTACGCAAAGCTCCCACATTCCGCCGACCCCACCCACATGATGTACTCGGTTAACAAATGTCCTCTTCGCTCGGACGGTAATCCAGTCGCCGATATTATCCCCCTCCATACTATACGTCAATCTTGTCAGTTGATACCAGATTCCCGGGTTCAGTAGGTGATGCGGAAGAGAGATTACCTGTGCAATGGAATACTCATACTATACTAGATGAAGCCTCCAAGTTTTTACTCAATAATTGGGCCAGTTCTTACGCATACCAGACACTATGGTAGCTAATGATACTTACGGTACTTGGTACTTACGGGACTTGCCAATCAGTAGACGGCGTTCTAATGAGATCTCGCTAGTACTTGTAAGCATGTCAGCTATTAGACATGTTACAATTGACTGTCCTCGCCTTCGCGCCCGCTCACGCGCACCTTCTCCACGCGCACCTTCTCCACGCGCATCCACGCGCACCTTCTCGCCCGCCTGTCCGCTCTCGCCCGCCTGTCCGCTCTCGCCCGCCTGTCCGCTCTCGCCCGCCTGTCCGCTCTCGCCCGCCTGTCCGCTCTCGCCCGCCTGTCCGCTCTCGCCCGCCTGTCCGCTCGCCTTCACCCTTCGCGCCTACTCACGCGCACGTTCTCGCCCGACAAGCCCTAGCGCAACAAACGCAGGCAACTAAGGCAAACACAGCAGGACAAGGGGTCGGAGTGGTGAACAAAAGGAAGGCAGACGGACGAAAGCAAAGGTGAGTATTCTTCTGCGTACCTACGGACAATTCTTGGTACTAGTCACCACGGTCCAGGAGGTGGTGCCTTGCCCGCGTCCGCTCAAATGCCCGCGCGTTCGTCAGTGCACTCTGCTTGCACGCCCTCTCGCCCACATGCCCTCTCGCCCACACGCCCTCTCGCCCGCCCGCTTGCCCGCCCTCTCACGCCCACCTGCTTATCCTATCGCACCTGCTTGTTTGTCCTCTCGCGCCCGCCTGCTTGCCCTCTCGTGCCCACATTCGCGCCATCTCGTGCCCGATCTCTCATGCTCACGCCCGACTTCTCGCGCCGCTCGCCATCTCGCTGTCCCTCTCGCCAGCCGTCTCGCTCGCTCGCCATCGACGCTGCATGCACTACATACCGCCTGAACGGAAACGCGCGGTTGAGTTCGGCATGCGCTGGGCACGGTGGTGTGTCGCTCCTCGCGAGCGTCGAGCCCGCTGAGCAAGCGCGTCAGCTTTTTCGTGTCCGCCAGTGGTCTCGCGAGCAGCCTTTTCACGATCCACGTGAAGGTGACACGATATGCGAGAAATTGGACCTCATCATGCGAGTGGGTTACTAACGGCCGACCGACCTTGTAGCTCCAGAGTCGAACCACCATGCAGGGTGTACTTCCGGGAGGGCTTGCTCGACAACATCTGGCCGGGCGGCTTCTACCTCGAGAACATCGACAGTAAGCTGTCGTCTTGCTGTCCCGCCTGTAGCCCCCCTAGCTCACCGTCTCGCTTGCGCACCATCCCAGGATCTGCGCATCCTCTCGCATGTGCACTCTTGCGCGCGTTCTTGTCTCCTCGGCCAGCTACGCCACCACCCTGTGGACCCGCGAACCGGCCCCGCACGGAGCCGTGCACAAACAAAACAAACCGTACCGGTGGGTCAGTAACCGGGGCAGGTACGGTTCCGGGTCAAGCTCGGGGCACCGGCGGGTAGGCACGTACTCCGCCCTACGGTCTCGGCCGCCTGTGCGCTCTCCTTCGCGCCCGCGCACCTTCTCCACACGCACCTTCTCGCTCCGCACCTTCTCGCTCCGCACCTTCTCGCTCCGCACCTTCTCGCTCCGCTCTCGCCGCCTGTCCCGCCTGTTCGCTCTCGATTGCCTGCCAAATCTCGCACTCGCCCAACCAAAGCATAGCTGTACTGCTACGGTTTGAAAACCTGTGCAGAAAGTCACGGCACTCCCGGACCAGTGTCCCAACCTGCGTGATTGGCAGGGCCCCAATTCAACGGCACTCCACGCAGTCGGGCGTCGAGCACGCCACCGCGTCGAGCGTCCCGAGCGTCGAGCGCACCCCCGAGCGTCGAGCGCACCCCCGAGCGAGGGCCCCAATTCAACGGCACTCCACGCAGTCGGGCGTCGAGCACGCCACCGCGTCGAGCGTCCCGAGCGTCGAGCGCACCCCCGAGCGTCGAGCGCACCCCGAGCGAGGGCCCCAATTCAACGGCACTCCACGCAGTCGGGCGTCGAGCACGCCACCGCGTCGAGCGTCCCGAACGTCGAGCGCACCCCCGAGCGTCGGGGGTGCGGAGCGCACCCCCTGGTCGCCCGCGTCGAGTTGTCTTCATGGGCAGTACTGCAGAATGTAAACGACTGTTAACAACTTCCATGTACAATAATGCATATTGTCCCACATGTATTCTACAAGTTTATAATGGATCCATTTGGATGTGATTCGAACAAGTGCAGCATGTCCTGCCTAACTAAAATGAAAATCGTAACAATGAAACTAAAACATCTGACATGCTGACAAAAGTCACCAAAGGTCTGATGTGGCACTTACTAGACATCATTTTTGGGGTCACAAGTCACATTTGAACTGTAGTGATGGCATGTGCAGCTTTTCAGGCTTCAGAGGGCTTTATTGACATGATCTAAGGTACAAGTAACGATACTTACAGGTCTTCAGCGATGTGAGCAAGATCTTGCATAGTCATTTTTGGCTTACACTGCTTTTGGTGCATGATAAGGGCCATAAGACTTTTGGAACACCTTGTTTCTCAAAAGGCACTTTAAGCCACTTAGGTTTTTCCTGATGTATATCCTACTCAGCTTCCTTGTATGGAGCCTCAATGTCAAAGGGCTGCTTCTCAGACCATCTCAGTGCAGTGTGCATGGTCTTGGGCATGTGTTTAGCACCCTTTGTGTTCCTGTAAGCATGGATGAGGGCTACACGGGTGACCCCTTGTACTGTTGGAGACAATGTTCCTTCATATCTCAATTTTGTGATCTCATCTAGCAGCTCCAGCTCTCTGAATTCCTGTCTGAGCCAGCCAGTGACACCGCCCATGAATTTAGAGTTGTCAAAGCCCTGGACAATAATGGTCCCCTGATAGCTTGAACCCCTGGACAGACATGTGTACACAGATTGGTGATTTTTGCAGTTCTGGAGGTCCACCACATTGTATGGCCTGGTACGGCCTTGGGAATTGAAATCAGTCATGGCAAAGTTGGGTATGAGAGCCACTTGAGTTCTGTGGATAGTCAGTGTGCGGTCATTGGGCATCAAGCAGGGAATCTTTAGTGTCTGAGCAGCAATTGGGACTACATTCTCAGGTAAACCATCAAGTTTGACAGGAGTGGGAGCAGCAGTAAGCTTCACAAATACCACATCCAGCATTCTCTTGTCTCCTGTGAGTGGCTTGGATTCCCATCCTACAACTACTGCCTCTGCTCCATTGGTGACATTGCACTCCGTGGCTTCATTGGCTTTAATCATGACAGGAAGTCCTACACAGAGGGATATTATCCCTGGGTGATTATTGGAATTTTTATTTGGCAATGCCCAGAGTTGATTTTGCAGATGAGGATGGATCTTGTCCACCTTGCGCCTGACATCCGCATTTTCCTTCATTTTGCGTGTTTTTTTACTCTCCTCAGGACTCCCATAATGGTCTAGAGAGTAAAAGGATTCCAGAGTCTGGCCTGTGTCCTTTGCAAACCTCACGACACCAAGCTCATTGATTCGGTCTCTGTGGGAATTGTATGACAGTATGATAGACACATTCCGGAAGTTGGGATCACTAAGCTTTGGTTTGCCTTTGCCCCGGCCAGCTATACGGCCTCGCAGAAAATTCACATCTGCCATTGTGCAAGCTTTGTAGCGTAAGTTGTCCAGCAGTTTTCTGAATTTTGCATCTTCAGCACTCTGAGACTTCTGTCTCATATTTTGTCGGAGAATCACAACTGTAGTAACTTGATGCCAAATTGCCTTCCCAAGGGACGCCTCCTGTTGTCTCCAACTTGACGTAGAGTGTCTGACACTGTTGACCTTTGCTGAGAACAGAGAGTACCCCGTTCCTGGTGGCTCAAGCTGTGCAAAATCACCAGCAAAGATCATATTTTTGCCACCAAATGGCTCACCAGTGTTGCTATATATGCGGCATAGACGTGCAGAAATATCATAGAAATGGTTGCAGTCAACCATGGAAATCTCATCCAGAAATATGTAGTCCACATCCTTCAGTCTGTCACGGACATTCCGCAGAGTCCCATTATTAGCATCACCATATTTGGAGAATCCCAGCATGCAGTGGTATGTAGATCCAGAGATGAGGGATGCTGCAGAGCCAGTGGGAGCCATGCATGCAAAGCGATAGCCTTCATTGCGATCTTGGAAGAACCTGATCAAAGCCTTGATGACCTGAGATTTCCCAGTTCCAGCCATTCCTCCAAGATACATCTTCAGCTTCTCTGCAGGAGGCTGAGTTGCATGGTTAGCAATTACACGAAAAGCCCTTTCTTGCTCCTCATTCAATGTGAAGCTTTTCACTATGCCATCAATAAGTGACTGGAGCTTATCATCTGCTGCTCTGAATTTGACAGACATATAGTTGTAGTCTACCGCCTTCACATTATCCACATAGTCTGCAGGTTTGTCATTGCCATTGTTGTGGCTACCAGGTTCATCTCTGGGCTTGCTTGCTGCCTGCTCCTCTCGCTGATGGAGAATATCTTCCCGCTTCTGGCTGAGAACACTTTTCCACTCTGGTCCTGTCATGGTGCTCACGGGCTGGAACCGGTCCATTGGTAGAGTGATGCTTGTCTTTGGAGTCATCAAGCCAGCCACTAGCATGAGCAATGTTCTCTGCCTGTTGCATCTGTGCAATACGGTCAGGGACTTCTCCCGAGAACATCCCATTCTGGATCATAGTCAATTGCCCCATCATCACCTGTTACACTGCTCTGCACAACATCAATGTAATCATCATTGTCAACTTCTTCTTCTTCCTCAAAGCCCAGGCCTCCATGTTCTCCTTTGTCCTGTCTGTGCTTGGAAAAGTCATCTCGACTATCATTGCACTCATACTTTATGTGGAAGAACTTCATGACCTCTTGCTGCGTTCTGTGAATTCGTGGCTAGCAAATGCATCATCCCATGTCTGAGAAGTATCCTTGAGGTCTGAGCCTTTATGCCAAGGCTTGAAGAGCATGAGCATGGTCATGCAATATTCCTCTCTATTACCTTTGTCTTGACGTGGCAATGTGCCTCCAACAAAGTTGGGCACCCGAGCACAATGATCTGGTAGCATGACAGCCATGTGTGTTTCATACTGAGGATGAGTGGGCTGGAAGCGTGTGGGCTCATGGTAATTTGTGATAGCATCCATTTGCTCATCCTCTCTAGCCTTCTGTGCTGTCTCCTTTGTGAGCAACAATGGGTCATCATCATCAGACTCTTCCTTCCATTTATCCTGCCACACCTCTG